ACTGTACTTGCATACATGACAACCACAGCTCCACAGCATCTGTGCACTAAACGATGATGCTAATATTTATCTGGTAGACGATATAAAGGGATGTTCTAGTTTGCTGCCGGCAGCAATACCTGATGAAAGTCCTTTTACAGCCCAGAGAACTGTACTGGCTTTATTTAAATGCTGTAAACAAGATCTCGATGGAAGCTGGTTCTAATAATTCTTATTGAAAATGAAAGTGATATGAAATTCAGATCATCAGAAAAATACAAAATGTGACCAGTTAAAGCAGAACTCCAGACAAATAGCTGACTACGCAGATGAAATACATATATAGTATAAGAGCTGTTTTATTTTTTACTGATTTGTATTTCTGTTCATCCACTTCTGAGATTTACTCAGCCTTGCTACACAGGACATCAATGCCTCGGGTACAAGACTTAGTTTTTTTTCTCTGCTGCTGCTAAGTACCAATGTACAGGTTTTGTCATTCCCCAAGCATATGATTGGACAGTGAAAGAAGAATCATCTCTGTCAATCTGCTGTCCTCCTATCTCGACATTCCTTGTTGGTACTGGAGCATTGCAGCACAGCTGACTGGCTTATTGTTCTGCCTTCCCCCCTCCCAGTCTGAGCTCTGTTGTACAGAGAATGCAACGGTCACAGTCACACACACTGATTGCATTTATTATTGTACTATAGAGAGCTGGAATTGTGTATTTTTATATCTGCCAGGAGTTCAGTTTTCAGGGAAAGAAATCTTTAAACAGACATCCCATAAGAGTTTAACAAGCTGTTTAAAGTTAAATAAAAGTATGGAAAAATGCCATTCAAAGCTGGATAAAAATACAGACAAAATGATGCTATAGGCCTCTATGTTACCATTTTTCCAAGTGGAGGGGGAGTGTAGACTAGGCCAATGTTCCAGGGTACCTACAAGTCCCTGAACCACTTAACAAACATAATTGCCTCTGACTACGTTTATGGATTGGAAACACTGACTTCATATTATGATTGAAACACACGCAACATCAGTTTGGCCATAACAGTTTTTGCTCCACTGGTCTGTACTGTTTTCATGCTTCGTGTATAGAGAGAACTATATTTCCCTAAGGCTAGGCTCACACTAGCTCCCTAGGGCTGGTTGTGGTGAATCAATGCGATTCCTGCTCCTGTAACCATCCACAGCTGTATCAAGCTTCTCTTGCTAGACACGGGGGGGTGTAGCTCAGGTGCAATGCTTTGGCCAATCACAGCGCATGATGATGTCACAAGGGGGCAGGGGTGACCCACCCTTTGTGACATCATCACAGTATTTAAGAACTGTCATTTCCCATCAACGGTGACGGCGGGCAACGTGATTGACGTTGGATCTACTTTTATTTTATTTTTGTTTATAATATAGGACTTGTCAAAGACTGTCTACTGTCATTTTTTACACTACACTTTTTTTTTTGTGAATAAGTTGTGGTACCATGTACCCCATACTCATTCACATGGGGCAGGCTGGATCTGGGGGCCCTCTTGTTAAAGGGGGCTTCCAGATTCTGATAAGCCCCTGTCCACAGACCCCCACAACCACTGACCAGGGTTGTGGGGAAGGGACCCTTGTCCCCATCAACATGGGGACAAGGTGCTTTGGGGGGGAAACCCCCCTGCCCCAAAGCACCCCTCCCATGTTGAGGGCATGTAGCCTGGTATTGTTCAGGAGGGGGGGCCCCCCTTTCCTGACCTGCCGGGCTGCATGCTTGGATAAGGCTCTGGTAGGGATTTTGGGGGGGACCCCATGCTATTTAAAAAACATTTTGGCCCACAAAATCCACACCAGACCCGATGGGCTTGGTATGGATATGGGGGGGGGGACACACCACGTATTTTATTTATTTATTTATATATTTCAGGTACTTATATTTTTATTTTTTACTATCTTTTCAGAAAAACGCACAAATCACATTTTTTGTTTTTAGCCATTCTCAAGTGATCCCCTTATGTGTAAAAAGGGAAAAAAGTAAATGTATTGCTAATAAAAAGTTAGTGGAACTGGAACTGGCTAGCGGAGCTGGAACATGTTACATATTCCACCCTAAATACGGGTGGAACATGTAACCGGTTCCAGAAGGTGAACTTATCCTTTACCGATACCCCAAAATCAACCTTTGGTGTGGTGCGTTGCACTGCCATCTGAGCCTATTCAATATGAATGGGCTCAAATCGCACTGCACTGAACAGCATGTGACCGCACAGCACGTTCTTGTACGATCGCTAGTGTGAACCGGTCTTTAGTTCACCTGTTTTTTTTTCCTGAAAAGGCAAACTTTTCAGGAAAAAATATGAATGGGCTCAAATCGCACCGCACTGAACTGCATGTGATCGCACAGGAGTACGCAATGCGTTCTTGTGCAATCGCTAGTGTGAGCCGGTCCTTAGTTCACCTTTTTATTTTTTCCTGAAAAAGTTATCCTTAAAAGTATAGCTACCCTTCAAGATTATTATTATTTTTTTTAAATTTTTAATTATCTTTTCTGAAAAATGCACAAATCCCATTTATAGTTTTTCAGCCATTCTCAAGTGATCCCCTGATGGTGTCAAAAGTAAAAAAAAAAGTAAATATATAGCTAATAAAAAGTGAATAGAACTACTACATGTAAGATTACTCTCGCTTTCATGCATATAGTATTGCGCAGATTTAAGGATCTGTTTGTAAGAATTCATTGATGATGATGCTGCGTGGGTTGGACGTGTATTCTGACTATGAGGAGGAAACATCCTGTGCCAGAGAAGTGAGCTAGCTGAGGGCAGTACTATTGATGTAGGGTGTGTCTGGGAGAGCTGAGTTCACTTCCACACACTGGGCTGTGGCTGGGTCTCCATTGCTTTCTGACACTCCGCCTGATCAGCATCATCTCACTGCTTGCCAGAGGGGGAAACACAGCAGGCCATGTAAGTGTATGCAGCACAGTATGGACACTAGGACATTGCCTATTATACTGTCAGGAGTAGTATACAGTTCACTGTAATTTCAGGAGGACAGTGTAGAGGAGAATCCAGCAGCAGGATTGTCTTTCTGTTGGCAGTTTGACTTGCCACAGTTGCTTGTGCTACTTTGCGAACTGCAATCAGAAGTTGTGATACAGGCACAGTTTAGAAATGTGTTTGCAAATGTTTGTTAAACATAGGTTTGTTAGTAGAACTTGAGGCAAAGCGTCTTTTTGTTTTTTTTCCATCTTTTAGTTTTGGATGGAGCGGATTAGAACTCCTGTCTTTGTCCCTATTACCCTGGGTTCACACCTAAGTGTTTTTCAGAAACGCAGTACAGTCCATTTAACATGATGTCCTATGAGACAGGTTCACATCTCAGTGTTTTTACCCAGTGCGTTTTTTTGGAAAGGGTCAGGGACTTTTTTGAACGCAAAAAGTTGCGTTTTTGGTTCTATAGACTTCAATGGAAACTCTGCAGAAAAGCATGTAGTGCGTTTTTGCCGTGTTTGTGATGCGTTTTAAATCTGCCTAGCAGCAGGAAAAAAACCCACAAAAATGTATCAAACGCAACACACAACGCAATGCAGAAACTGCTGAAACGCAACCTGCATCGGTGTGAACCTAGCTTTAGGGAGATTCACTGTCTCTGTCCTGTTTTCTGTTCTCACTGAGCCCTGGTTTACACACTGATGCGGTACGGCACATCTCATGTGATTCGCACAGGAACCACACCGCATTCCTGTACACGTAATTTCTGTGCGGTGCAATTTGAGCCATACATTTTATATGGCTCACATAACACCAAAATAGTGTAGGACCCTCTTTCTTTTTTTTTTTTTTTTTCCACACCAGAATCGGATCGCACGGGTGTTCACGCCCGTGTGATTCGATTCTACACATCACACCGCGTTTTGTGAACCGTGTTAACTTAAAATACACACCCGCAGCGGTTCGCATTACGCGATTATGATGCGGTGCGGAAATCACACAGAAACTGGTGCGAATTCCGCACCGCAACAATGTGAACCAGGGCTCAGAGTGAAATTGAAAGAAAATCCCAAATTTTGGGTTGTCACAAGAACAGGAATAGAGGGGGAAAGCTTTCACTGGGGACACTCGTTTGCTGACACCCAAGGATACCCTTTAGGGCTAGTTCAGTGAGTTTTTTTTTTTTTTCTGCATCAAAAATGCATGCACAGTGTTTTCCATGTATTCCAATGGCCCTAGTTCACACTAGTGCAGTCAGTTTCTGGAGCAGGAAAAAAAAAAAAGTATAACATGCTGCATTTTTTCTGCAAAGAACCGTATTGGAACATAGCAAGCTGCATCGGAACTGCGTGTGGTGTGAACTGTAAGCAAAAACGTATCTGAAGTGTGTTTTTGTGGTGTGAACTGGCCCTCAGGCTAGGTTCACACTATATGCAGGTGCAGGACAGCGTGCTGTTGCAGTTACTGCTGTTAGCATGCGCATGGGGGTGCTATTCTTAATGGCACCCTCCTCGCGCTAGAAATCGCAGCACGTTTTCCCTTGCTGGGAACCGCATAGCACTATGACGGGTGGGCAACTGTGGCCCTCCAGCTGTTGGTGAACTACAAGTCCCATCGTGCCTCTGCCTTTGGGAGTCATGCTTGTAACTGTCAGTTTTGCAATGTCTCATGGGACTTGTAGTTCTACAACAGCTGGAGGGCCACAGTTGCCCACCCCTGCACTGAGGTTTCCCTGTGGCTGCAATTTGGTAAAAGGTGCAGGGACCTTACCCGGCTTTCTGTAAGTACAGCAGCCCATTCAAATGAATGGGCTATTGTATCCTCACAACCGCTGCCACAGGGAAATTGCAAAAAACCTTGCCTTACAAGGAGGGATTTCCTCTCACTTCCTGCTTTATGGGAAAGAAAGTGAAAGCAAAAAGGGTTCCTAAGGCTGGCCCTACACTATACAATTATCTGTCCAATTTCTGCCCAATTTCCTTTAGATTTACCTTCAACTATGTAGTGCAAGGGCCTGCCTAATTGGATACAATTGAAAGTGTTGTTTGGGTTTGACCTCATATTATATGGTTTTTGGTAAATCTAAAGCAAAACTCTCAAGAAAATTGTATAATGTATGGCCAGACTTAGTCTGTCCAAATTAAAAAAAAAAAAAAAACAGTCCTGCTTAAAAATCTTTATCAGTGCTGAACATGGACTTGTGGGCGCTTTCTCCAGTAAGGCAATACAAGCTGCAGGCATTCATCATTGGTCCTGTTCATTAATTAGTTCCCAATAACCCCTTTGAAACCAATTAGAATTGATCTCGTATAGCTGTGATCTGAACAGTGGTTAATCATTGAGTTATTTTACGTATTAAATACGGCAATGTGTTTGTTTATAGCATTTCACAACTTGTTGCTGTTAGTTTACTACACTTGCTAGATCTAGAACTCTGGTGACTACTAATACTGAAAGAATCGTATTACTGCGGTGTACATGGCACTATCAGGTGTCACCTGAACACAAAACCAGGGAGGATGATTGATTTGCATACAGCTTTACCTGTGTGTGTGAGCACAGACTGAGCTGGAGACACCATACCCTCCTCCTGTACTACGGGGTTACCCTTGTAAGTACTTTGTTATATCTATTAAGGAAGCCTTTTTGCACAATGACTCTAATTTTTTTGTTCCGAATGATTTTGGGCAGCCAGCTATGGCCTTGATTTTAAACAATGCATGGCCTGTTGACTTAGCTATTACATATATATTTTTTTTAATTTAGCCTTTACTTCCCTTTACAGCCTTTGAAACCTACTTTACACTAGCAGCAAAATGGCAAAGGTAAGTGGATGCTATATGATTTTACTCTGTAGGATCAAGTGATCATTGTTGCTTCTGGCAGGTATTGTTCAAGTATTTGTGCACAATAGAACTGAAATTATTTGACTTTTTGAAGTAAGGAAGGAATGTACGTAAGGAAATATTTTTTTCTCTCTATATATAGATTTATTGTGTGTATGTATCTATATAAAATATATATTATTATATAATATATAATAAAAAAAAAAAAAAAAAAAAAAAATATATATATATATATATATATTATATATATATATATAATGTGTAATAATATATATATATTTTTTTTCCCTTTCTATATTTGTCTCTGTATTGCCTCCCCAACCCGTCTATTGTACAGTCCCCTGTTTTGGGTCTAGATCCAGCTTTCCCATACATTAGAGATGAGCCATTGCGTCCTCTGAACTCATCTGTAGACAAACTCCTTTTCTTTTTCTTTTTTTTTTTTTTTTTTTTACTCCAAAGAGCCAAGGGCTAGGTCATTTCCTCCCTGCAGCCCTTCTCTTTGTTTACATGAGCTGCAGGGCATAAATGACATGTCCTGCCCTGCATCTCATTGGAGTAAATAATAAATTAAAAAAAATAAATAAAAAAAAAATTCTGTGTTCAGGTAGAGTTGAGTTTGGAGGACAGCTGAGCTCATCTCTCCTTAGGTCCTATGTATAGATAAATACATTTGGTTTTACATTTAAACTTGTTTATATCACACGTTAGATTTCACCCAATGCATGACTGTAACATAATACAACTTGACTGCTGTTGCCTGTATTAATCAGTGGTTGTGTATAGAGGATAGCCAGGGCATCTTTTCCCTTCCTTTTTTTTTTTTTTTTTTTTCTTTCTTTCCCATCTGTGCTTCGGCACCCTGTATAAACAAAGAGCAAAGTGTGGCATGTAGTAATCCACATCAACCAATGGATATTTTACTGCTCTAGCTGCTTTGTTTGTCTGCTTACTGCTCTTTGCAGTTTATAGTTTGTCCTTTCCAACTGATTTAAATGTACCTAGTAGTGTCTTTTATTAAAATGCATTTTTAGATTGAGTCAATAAAAGTGTTGATTCCAAAACGAATGCTAGTTATCAGGACAAAACAGTTTTGTTTCCATAAATAAATAGTCCCTGTATAGAAGGATGCTAAGCATTGACGTGTACAGTTTTCTTCTTCCTCTTGCTAGAATGCTTTTCCGTCTCTGTAGTGAACCCCCAAAAATCCAAAAGGAGGCTGGGCAGTCTGTGCTGTGTCACTGGTCATATGAAAGGGAGTCTGCTTCCAGCTTTCATAGCCATACACATGTAATTTGTAACCCCATCATTGCCTAGATCTATTTTATCGGCTACGCTCTGGCATTACCTGCCTGCAGGAATATACTCTGTAGTGTTCACAGTGAAATCGTTTACTCTAGTAAATTGTAATAAGTGAGGGGAAAGTTGCAAAGCAGGTTTTTTCAGGTTCTTCTCAGCTAAACTGCAAGAAAGCAGGGAGGTTAACTGCAATTTTGAAGCTTAAAATAGTTATTAAAGTGCTCTCTTAACAAAACAACAACCTGCATTAGTATAAAAGCAGCTGGCGTGTACATGCAGACCTTAGCAAAGTAAAAATTCAAATTGCAGCTCCAAAAGTGAGACTACCCTGTTCCATCCAAAGAGGTTTCAACAGTAGTGTCCACATCCAGAGAAGGGATGTCCAACAGCCGCCAAATACAGAATACCCCTGAATTGATTCGGGTCAGAAGGTTTTAACTAATGGATACTATGTGCTCTGACATTATGGGGTTAATTTTTCTAAGGGCAAATTTAAGGGTATCTTCCTTTAGTTCTGCTGACTTTCATTATTCAGTCATGTGCAAGAAAAAAATATATAGATATTTTTTTTAACCTTTTTCCTTGCACATGATTGGATATCCTTTGCAAAGTGATTTTTCATCTTGTTTACTAAGCTCTGAATTAAATTCTGATGCAAAAGTGAACAGACTATCTGCCTTTAGTAAATCAACATCATTGTAATGATTAGTAGCTCTCTGTGCCTTGACAGTAGAGGCAAGTAAAGATAGATATTTTTTTGTTTTTGTCAAAGCAACTTTTTTTTTATAAGGCCCCTTTCACACTAACTGACCAGTAAGATCCACCTGTCCATTTTTCATGCTGACTCGCTCGGACCATCCAGTCTCCTCTACGGAGTGGCGGATGTAAATGAACATGTATCCATTTGCACTCGCCTACATCCAATCTGATCCTATCCACTAAAAACGGACAGATGGGGGTCGATTTTCCATCTGTCTAGATCAGATCCCAGTTAAATGTAAACAGACAGGCGGTCCATTTACATCCAACCACCCCTAGAAGAAAATAGGTTGTGTCCGTGTCCGCTCTACATAAGCAGAGTGGACATGGACCTGTCATCTGCCTGCTTAGTGGGGACCAGCAGACAGATTCCCTGCCGAGCAAGCAGATCCGCTGATGGAGTCTGTACTGTGTGAAAGGGGCCGAAGCCTGGAGTTTAACTATAACATTGCTTTTCACAAGAAGTCAGATCTGCAGCATACAAGGCGAAGAGGAATACTTGCCTTTGTGATGAGAAGCAATGGCGACCCTCACTGTATTGAGATGCTATGGCCACCACTGGTATCTGACACTTCTGGGAATATTGGATGCCTGGTTCTTTAAATTCACCCCTACTTCACTATGGTACACAGTAGTAATGTAGTGGCCAGCAGGAGGAAGTACAGATCAAAGTTTGTAGTCGCTGCCCTCAACAGGTAAATAATCCTCTTGTTCATTTACTGGGTGCTGCTGGACTGATTTTTCAGCTAGCAGCAGTGTTAGTTAAAGCAGGGATCTCCAACCCTTCTAAACAAGGGGCCAGTTTACTGTTCTTCAGGCTGTGGGCAGTGGACAAACTGTGGCCAATCGAAGTAGAAAATGTCAGAGTGTGGGAGCAAACAAAATGCCATTATTGATGTCACTGGGAGGAATTGTGCCCCATCTTTGGTGTCAAATGCAGTTGTTGTCAGTGGGAGAAATAGTTGGTGGCAGTGGATGGAATTATGCCCCATTGTTGGTGTCAGACGAAGGAATAGTTCCTCATAATTGGGAGAAATGGTGCCCCAAGGGCCAGATAAAGGCAAGCAAAGGGCCACATCTGGCCCCCAGGTCACAGTGTGGAGACCACTAGTTTAAAGCATAGATCATGAAAATTAGAAATTCCTTATGGGCACACAGGGCTGGCTTGGGAGTGAACACGCACAGGTGGGGAGAAGCCAGTGCCAGTGGGGGACCCGAGAAGCAGAGGTTTGGGGTTGCTCTGCACAAATCCATTTCATAGAGCAGGTAAGTATAGCATGTTTGTTATTTTAACCACTTCCGTCCGGCCCATGTATATAAACGGCTGGACGGGAGCAGTGCAGGGGCGGGTGGCTGTTTATAAACATCCTCCCTCTTCCCTGCTTATGCGCGCTCCTTGGAAATGCGCAGCACCACAATCCAGTACCCGCTGTGTCCTCCGAACACAGAGGAACACCGATCATTGTAGGGAGCTCTGTGCAAGGTCCCGATCATGTGATCACTGATTGGCCAATCATTGATCGCATGAAGAGTAGTAAGCAAGATGTCACTTCTGACATCATTGCTTACTACTTGTGAAATCTGGGAATGATCACAAAGGTCGAATGGTACAAGGCTTTTCACAACAGCCTTGTACCATGTGACAAGCTGTGACGAATCATAGCTTGCACAGTATTTCTGAATGGATAGAAGGAGAAATGATTGCTTTTACACCCATAAAGGCTGTAAAAGCAATCAGTGTAAAAAAAAAAAAAAAAAATCAGCACCCCCCCCCCCCCACAACTAGTACAGTGTCACTATGGCGACGCTGTACTGCTAGGGTGACAGTATGTAAAAAAGAAAAAACATAATATAAAAATGTAAAAAAAATTTGGTAAAATTATAATTTTTGGTTATAAACTAATTTTGGGTTTTTTTTTTGTTTTTTTACTAAAAAGATAACTGAATACATTTTGGCCAAGATTTATGAAGAAAGATTATTTATTTGCAAAATGTTTGGACATTTTATTTATATAGCAAAAAACCTAAAAATCCCAGTGGTGAATAAATACCACCAAAATTTTTATCTGTCTCAAAAAATGCTAAACAGTTCATATGGGTACAGTGTTGCATAACCGTGCAATTGTCATTCAAAGTGTGATAGCGCCAAAAGCTGGAAATTGGCCTGCGCAGGAAGGGGGTATAGGCAAGTGGTTAAATTTATACCTAAGTTTCTTTTCTACCAGCTCAGAAAGGAATATGCAGATCAAAGAGTCGATATATTCTAAGGATATTCTCAGTTGTGCCTGAATCGCTCAGATTTCTCTGTCTGTCAGACAGATATATGTATTCTCTCTGTAACTTTATTTTTTTAATTAAAATGAAATCTGAAAAAATAAAAACTGAAAGCTGAAAATTGGCCTGGACAGGAAGGGGGTAAAAAGTGTCCGGACTTGAAGTGGTTAAAGAAAAAAATAAGGAACGTTTAGTATCTCTTTGTTGTAGAGTACCTTGAGCCCAATTCCATCTCTCTGGCAAGAATGTTTCTTTTAGGAATGGCAGGAAAGTAACAATGTAAATGTTATATGATACTTCTTTTTCTCTCTTTTCACATCTTTGTTTATTCCAGTGCTTCCGTATCTTCAGACTGCGTCCTATTACAAAAAGAAAAATGTCAGGGACCTGTTCACGTACCAGATTCATTCACAGAACATGGCATAGCAGACCTCAAATCATGCGTAGTTTAGTTATTGTAGAGGAAAGGACAGTGTGTAGATTCAGTAATGGCATTCTAAAAGATTACCTCTATTGTTACATTCCCTTTTTATAATCTCATATTTTTCAGAGTACATGTTTACATGGAATCCCTTTCTTATGATTGCACTTATGAGCTCTTCTACAGAACCTATCCTCCTCCAACGCACGTTTGGGTGTTTTGAATGCCTGTCTCCCCCCAACCTGTTGGCCTGTTGGCCCATGTCACTACAGGACACAGTGAATGCTTCAGCTGGATTGCATTCTGCTTTTCTACATTCTAGATGTTCACTGCCTTGTATTAATTATGAAAACATGAACATTTTTTCCCCTCCTGTCTAAGGCTAGGATTTACACACCCTCATTAAAGCCATCACTTTTAGTTAATCAGTGAAAGCTGGTTAACTTTCTTTCCCCTAGATCTGTTTTCACTAAAATGTGATGGCCACATAGAGCATAATCAGTAAAAACCCTTTATTCACCCTCATTCTACATAAGTCACTCCTTTTTATGGAAGAAGAATTGATCTTGATGTGGTTGATCACTTCCTTCGCCCCCAGAAAAACACATCCTGGAAAATCTGGGTAGTTGTCTGGTTCTCTGCCTGTAGGAGAATCTATAAAATGTAGTCCCATTTTGGGACTGGCCAACAACAGATTTTACACCTCTACTTATTTCTCTCTCTGCACAGCCCAATGTATTGTATTCAGGGCTGGGATTAGACAGGCAGCCCTTTCTTTCCCTCCATTGACTGCCAGCTTCTGTTTGGCAGGTTGCCATACACACAGGCCAAATGTCGGACGGTTTCTGTTGAACTGGTCGATACAGCCCGATCTTCGGCTCGTGTATATGGGGCTTAAGGCACTCAGTTGCACCGACCAAATGCTCAGTCCCACTCTGTGGGTGTGAGCAATTACTACTGTTTCAATCTGCTCTCAATGGTTTACCTGGTGACTCAAAACTGAATGAAGTTTAAAATGTATCATTGACTGATTTTTCTAATTTACTCTAAATGCGGAATATTAAGGGTTTTCATGAATGCTGTAAACAACCTCCGCATTGTGCCTTATTAGGTCTTTTCTCCTTTTGTATTTCATGCCTATGAAACCTAATAAACTCAGACTGACGTTCCACACGTTGCCATTTCTTGCATGTGCAAAACTTGCAGCAGCTTTCTCACTATCATGTATACTGCCTCTGGCCATGGGAAATTTGTCTTTCTACACTTTTATTTTTAACCCCACAACTACAAACCATGTGCAATGGGTACATGTTTGGTGGTGCAATATAAAATCGGCTTCAAAGCACCTTTTATAATTACTTAAAGGTAATATTTATTATTGTGTGTGTGTGTGTGTGTGTGTGTGTGTATATATATATATATATATATATATATATTTTTTTTTTTTCTCTCCAGCAATATACACTGCACTTTACATTTTTTGTACATTCCCATTAGTCCCTGCCCTCCATGGAGCTTGCAGACTAAGGTCCCTAACTTGCATTCATACATACAGATACTAGGGCCAATTTTAGACAGCATCCAATTAATCTACCAGCATTGGTTAAATAAGCAAATTCTGGCCGGCTGCACTCCTTTGATGCTGTGTTAAAAAGCCATCTTTATTATAATTTAAAACCGCTCAACAAACATAGAGATAAAGAGCAAACTCGGTTGACGTGCTTGACGCTACATAGAACGCTTACTCGTAACCTACCAGCATGTCCTTGGTGTGTGAGAGTATTTTGGTTTTGTGCTGCCCTAGGCAAGACTAAAATCACACCCCCCACATCTTTGTCCCACCCTTTCCTGTTTAGGACTCACCCCTTCATATGTAAACTCCACCCCTTCCACTTTAGGCTCCACCTCTTCCTATTAGAGCTCCACCCCGGGAGACTGTCAGTGACTGTGGACAGGATACAGGAAAGGGTCCCCACAACCCCTCGCCTTGAATCAGGGTCCCCAAAGTTCCCCCTCCTGACATCCGGGTCCCCAGAGTCCCCCCTCAACATTGGGGATCAAAAAGCCCCCAATAAATCAGGATTCCCTTTAAATCATGGTCTCCAGAGCCCCCCCACCTTATGTGCATCAGGGTCCCCATAGCCCATCCCCTTATGTCAGAGTAAATTAGGGTCAGTCCTTTACATCATGGTCTCCAGAGTTAACCCCCCCCCCCCCCCCCCCCCACCACGCACACACACACACACACACCTTACATCAGGGTCCCCATAGTCCCTACCACTTCAGGCTTCCAAGAGTCCCCCCCCCCCCCCCCAACCCCCCCAGTACATCAGGGTCCACCTTTACATCATGGTCTTCAGAATCCCCCCACCTTTCATCAGGGTCCCTAAAGCCTATGCTACACGAGCTGGAAGAAGGAAGTCCTGTCCTTGTCGCCCTCCTCCTCCACTGAATGTCGTGGCCTTGGGGCAGGGCAATCACCTGATTGGTTTCTAGGACATATGCAGTCCTACCAACCAATCACGTGCTTTCTTCACCCCCATGCTTTCTTCACCCCCACTTGCGCTCACAGTGATGACACAGGGCAGGGGCACGGTGGTGGAAGTCACCTGGCTCCAATGCACAGCCTGTCTGTTGGTAAGGCTGAGCCACGCGGCTCCAGGCAAGGTGCTCTGGGGAGGTTCAGACCACCCAACCCCCTTATCTACGTCACTGAACACAGCCAAACCCGAACACAGCTGTGCCTGGAGTTTGCATGTGCTCCCTGTACCCAGGGACGTATCTGCTGCGAGTCAAACAAGGCACCTTCCTTGGGCAACATTTTTCAGGGGGGCAGCATCGCCCCCAGGCAAAAGGGACCAGTGTCATCTGCAAAGGGCTGTTCCTTGTTTGCCTCATGGCAGATATGTTCCTGGGTACAGGGAGCACATGCAAACTCCAGGCACCTAGTTGAGATTAAAACTGATCTACCTAGTGCTGCCAGGTGGAAGTATTAACCACTTGGCCATTGTGCTGTCTCAACATTTTGGTTTTATGTAAAAAATGACACCCGAGTAACACAGACTTTCGGATTATGGTGAATGTATGTTTGGGCCTTAAATTAAACACTTTGGCTGCAGTTGCAAACTTCTCCCCAGTCAGCAGACAATGCCATGCCCCATACTTCTTATAGGAAAGGTTTCTTTAAGGCCTGTCATTAGCATCCGTTTTGAGATGCTATGAGATTCAGAATTCATTGACGGTGCATTTGAGCTGCAGTTGACCTCCTCCTAACTTAATCTGGACTTTGTTAGAGTTGCACCAATTTCTTAAAAGTATTTCATGCACTGCTTTTAGCGATTTTGGGTGTGACATGCAATAGACATCTGTGCATGAAGTCGTGCTGACATCCGACTTTCAAAGTCTTATTCAGTGTGAACCCAGGCTTATGGTTATATGAAGCCTGCTGACCCAAGCCGTAAAGGTTTTGAGGGACAATGACTAGGTGGTAGGTAAAGGCTGAGCATTACAGTAAATTTACATTTGGCAACATTTAAAACATTGGGTAACTATTATATGTATTTCAACATGTGTAAATGGCCCCGAAGAGCTTACTCCAGCAGTGTTGGGCTGTGTTGCCTAATGCAGTCCCAACAAAAGAACGAGCATACTGTGGTGTGAATGTGCCCTAAGTGACATGTTACGGAGCTGCATTAATGATTAAAGTATAACTAAAGGCAAACTACTTTTATATTTTTCTTTTCTTAGTTTTAGATAGTGGCGATGGATTAGAATCAAGCTTTTATTGCTATCTCTGCCCCGTTAAGATTCCTCTTCACCATTTTTCCTGTTTACCAAAAGCGAAAGTAAGCAAAAATCACAAATTTTGGGTTGTCCCCATAACAATAATAGAGGGAAATCTTCCAATGGGAACACTAGTTCTGGTGACCTGGGGGGCCCTAAATGGATTCTCTTATTTTGCAGGGATTTC